TTAAATAATATAAAATTGACTTAATTTTTTATTTGATTTGATTATTATTCTTTTCTTTTTAATTATTTTTTTTACTATAATATTTTAACTAATTTTAAATTATTAAGTCAAATGATTTGACATACAAAAATTTTTTTTTTGCACTTTGCATAATAATAAAAAATAATTATTTATATTGGAAAGATCTACATTTTTAAATTTCGGACTATTGATGTTTATAGATGACGTGCACCATAGTAAAAATTGATATGTTTCACAAAAATTTACATAGCTATGACAATAGACATGTCGATCATGTGAAATCCTGTCTGACTGGTAAAGTATGTAACAATACTCATTCCAATAAACATGTTTACTTAAGAGGAAAAATCAAATTTTGAATACAGATTTTTACCTCAATTTGGTTAAAAAATCATGTACATATTTTTTTATTTTGTGAATAATAATAATAATAATGAGTTACTATGATATTTTACAAAACAATTTCTTTTTGAAGATAAACATAAAGCAACATTACATAAAGTACAGAATATATATGAATGTCTTTCACCATCTAAGGCTTTTCCTTCTGTTTCTTGCCTCAAATGTTTACAATACTTGCATGCAATTCTGTTTTCTCTGTACTCAGGCAAGTGATTTCCCTGAATTAATCTTACCAATGATATATTTGATTTAGATGTAGTGTAATGGTGTTTTCTGGAAGATGATGAAAAAAAGAATAGATCAACATAACAACTGTTTCACAACTATTCAATGAAACATGCAAAGGTCCAATCATTGGGACAATGTGTTGCAGGAGAGGTGAGAGTTGGTGGGTATTTGTTGAATTAAAAGAAGCTGAAACAGCACGTCGCACATGAATCTGTCCAGGATAATCCATTGGTGCTACAAGTATAAACTTTTCAAGATAAGCCTTCAACTCTGGAACATTAAATATATTTTCTAAAGCTTTTATATAATCTCCTGTAGAGTGTAAGCTTCCTTCAACCAAGTTGACAAGCTTGGTGTTATCCAAACTTCTGTCTTCTTTTCGTTGTTGTATCCTATTATGTACCAACAACATCTCAATACGTTCTTCATGGTTTCTTGCTTCAGGTAATTCTTTAGCAAAAACAAACTTACGTTCATTATATGTTAACCAAAGATGAGGAAAAAACAATACCTGAACATTTTCCACAATAAGCTCTGCATCAATTCCTTTTGGATTGTGGACATTTTTATTAATGTGTAGATTATCAAATGGAACTGCTGGTAATTCTGGAACTGCTTTTAATAAGATAGTTTGAAAGTGATGAACATCTGAAGATGTTGTTGTATCACCACGTCGTATAGTATGGATGTTATGATAATCATCAAAATTGGCCACCATAAAATCATCCATCTACATCAAATTCATTAAATTAAATTAATATTTGCAATATAATTACAACTAAATTAAAATTCATAAGCAATATCCTTACATGTTTAATACAAAGGAGCTAACAGTATCATTGTGAGTATTTTCTTGCTTTTTTTTATGTCTCATTACTGTCTCACGCCTAATGCTTATACCTGTTCCTGCAAATGTTTCAATGGCTGAGGATGATGCACCTGCACCATCTAACATATATCCAATTTCAGCTTTAATTCCATTGATGAATTTATTATTCAAACCTGCTAGAAAATAACAAAATAAAACTAATCTTTTTTTATTTTTTTCATTAGTCATATTATTTTTATCTTTTGGATTTGTTCCAGCATAAAGTTGATTAAAAAAACCTTTTAATGCTGGTTCAGCTTCTTCTAACATTTTATTAAATTCATCAGGTTCTAAAATGGGTTTTTCGTTATTCACCCTCTGTCTTATATACAATGCACCTGCCATTAATTTGATTTTTTTATTAAGAGGTGCTGTTTCTAAAATAAAGCAAATAAGCTAGTTAAATATAATTATTGACAATAAAATAACAGCAATTTATTTGGTAATTTATTAATTTATTAAAAAAAAATAAGATATATATTTTCATTTTGTTCAATAATAAATAACATTATTATTTTTAGTATATTGGTGTGTAAACAATTAGAAGAATAATTAATTACTTACCTAACTTTGTTTTCTCAAGTTCTGCACACACTTCATGATATGCTGACTCTAATTGTCGAAATTCTTCCTCAGAATAAAAAATATCATCACGTAAAGCATATTTATTTTGAAATTTCTGAATTTTTTTGTTTGATTTTTTTTGAGCTGGTGATTGATAATTAGGTGAATCTGAGTATTCTGGATCATTGTCAGTCTTATACAAACAGTGATGACACATCATTGCTGTCTCTAATAATTTAAAATAATTAATTAATCGTCCAGGTGCCTTCCAGAATAAAATTTTTTCTTTTTTTTGTGCTGTAGAAAGATAAATATCATGCTTAGGATGTTAATTATTTTGTTTTTAGCATTAACAATTAATTTGTTATAATGCCTTCTACATAATGCTTTTCCAACCAAATTTAAATGTTTGTTAATATCTGGAATAGTAACTTTATCAGATACTATGGAAGCATTATTAATTTTATAATCACAGATAATGTCACCTTGGCCTTCTAAATCACAATATTGTACTTTTCTCCTCTTATCTTTATGTTCATCACTGGAGGGTGCTTCTTGAGATGAGTTTTGTATGACATCCATTTTCTGTAAGGCGAGTTGCTTAAAATGTAGCTATATATTAAATTATATATTAAATTAAGTATATAAAATTTTCTATTGCAAAAAAGTCTACTATAACTAACTTCCGAATTACTTCACCTTTCGCCGAATTATTTTGGCAGTCTATAAAATAGAAGGTGAGAAATCAGAATATATTGTTGTTATTGCCACAAAATTGATTTTGGTGACGCAAAGTCAAGTTAAAGCCAGATGACGGTCAGTTTGTATATGAAACATATGTGGTGTAATTAATGCCGATCATTTCTTAAAATTGAATACCCGCTATGTTCTGCATGGCATATCAACAAAATGAAAATGTCATTTTGTAGAAAAAGGTCTTAGCTTCAAAATGTCATCTTGTTTTTTTGGTCACACATTTCCATTTTTGGAGAATTAAAGGATTTGCAAGACTAATAAAAGTTGTAGGGACTAGGTGTCCTGCACTATAGTACTAGTCATTGAGGGATAAATATTTTTTCTAATTGTAACTTTTAAAAAAATGAAAATTTGGAGGTTTTTTTAAAATATGTTTTTTTTTCACATTAATAAAAACCCTTCCTTCCAAGAAAATAACATGAATGAAATATTTTATATATAGAATTTTGACTTCTTCTATTTAAAAAAACAAAAAAAAAGGGAGTCGAATAGTAAAAAATTCGTCCAGGGGGTCTACAAATTTTTAAATTTTTGGACCAAATCTGGACCAAATTTCTGTTCATTTAAGGGATACCTTTTTTTCAAAAACGTGGTTATTGAGTTGATCTACTATTAATTGAATAATTAATTATTCCTTCATTTTTTACTATAAAACATCAGATCTTTATACTTTATACATCAAGTGGAATGAACTCAAAAAAACAACAAAGCCTTGATAATTTAAATTTACCTGATGATGAAAATTTACCATCTTGGATTGAGAAATTTAAACTTCAATATGGATTGGTTATTGATGAAATGGGCATAAGAAAAGGAAATATCCAGCCTATCCAATCTTTTAGTTCTTCAACAAATCTAAAAATTAATAACATCAATTTAACTGATTCTATAAAAACTAACTTGAAAATCACAAATTCATTATTACATTCTTATCTTTTAAAAAGTGATATTAAAGTTATTGATGATGAAATGATAAAAAGTGATATTAAAGTTATTGATGATGAAATGATAAAGTTCTTTAGCCAAGAAGTTCCTTTTATTAATTTGAAAGTAAAAAAATTCATGGAATTTAGAATCTGAACAAAATATAAAGAATTTATGCAATTTAGAATCTAAACAAAAAGTAGAGGATCCATTGAATTTAGAATTTAAACAAACAATCCATTGTGAGATCAGTAGTCAACAAATTGAGTTGACTTGAAAATTTTGTGCCATCAAATGAATTAATTAAAGATGTGCATAAGGCTTAGATACAGAAAATCCTTATCATGAACTTGAAATTATATTTAATGAATATGGTCATTTATTGTGTAAAAAAATTATATTAGGTGGAAAATTATCAAAGATCACAACATTTGGATTTAAATGGTAATGATAATAATTATTATAAATTTATAAACTTACATAATCTATTAATCTTTAAATTAAAAAATTTTTTTTATTAAATTAAATTATATTATTTTTAGAAAATTTATTTACAGAAAAAACAATTGAAAAATCAATAGATCCATCAAGCATAAATAACAATGAAAAACTTGATGAAATGCTAAAAGAATGGGATGAGATTCATAGGAAGATCAGTCATGATTTAATTTTGATAATAAAATTTTTTTTAATGTAAATGGACATACAACAAAAAGAAATTCAGTAATTAAATGGATAAAAATAATGGCTGAAAATTCAGAATTTTGGGATGTAATTTATTATGCTGACCTAATTCCACTATAAAATTTTAGAAGAATCATTACAAAAAGAAATTGAACTTCTTTCCAAAGATCAAACATTAATGATGGATTCAATTAAATTTGAAGATAAAAATAAAAAAAATTATAGAGTTGTTTTTAAAACTCCTTTGAAAAGTGATAAATATCAAATTTATGGAACCATTTTTAATGAAAATTCTGAAAAATGTTCTGATATTATCATTGTATTTAAATATTTTGATCAGTATGGGTTTTCAATAATCATTGAAAGGTATCAAATACATATAATATTATCCTTATATTAATGATTAAAAAATAATATTTTTATTTATTTTTATAGGTTTGATGAAAACCAAAATGATGTTTCCCATATTAAATGGGCAATGGTTGGCTCTATGAAATCTATCAAGAAGAAAGAAAATCATAACTGATCAAAGAATGTGATAACATAAAGCCATGAAGAATCTAGAAAGAAAGAAAATTACTGTTACCAAATATTATGGTGAGGGAACAAGATAATAGTTGATAACATACTTTAATTATGTGGAGTTTGATGAATGGGTTATATGTGTTTAAAATAAAATTTATTGAATTGCTTTTATAATACATAATTAATATGGTGTAATTACTTTCGTTAAGCATAATGATTGTTAATTTTAACTAATAGGAATTATATGTATTAAACTAATAACATGCTCATAATAATAATAATATATAATGTTATTCGAAAATATTAATATTTGCAATTATAATAAATAATATGTATGGTATTAAATAATATTTTTTTGTATTGAAAGTGATCTCGCCATATACTTACTTCTCTCATCTAATTCCATAGACATTTTCAATTCCTGTCGCAAATTATTTATGTTGTTTTCCACTAATTTATTTAACACATGATCGTCCTTTAATTTTTTTTTTCGTTTTTTAATTTGATAATCTGTGGTATCTGTGGTTGGCTGAATAAAAGTACTCATCCTTGCTTGTTTTACTCGAAGTTTAAATGATTCTTCAGGTTTATTTATGCTTTCATAAATTTTTGTATGAATTTCAGGATTTTTTGGTATTTCTGTTGGTTTAGCAGTGATTACTTCGGGTTTTGAGACCTGTGTTGTTGAAATATCTTCGAACTTGGTAATAACTTGTAATGATGCTTCTTGAATTTTTTTCAAATCTAAAATTTCGTCTTCCAATTTAACAATTGTTTCTGAAGATGCCTCTTGGAATTTTTTGATTTTTTCTATAATGGCTTGTAACGATTCCTCTTGAATTTTTTTAAATTTCGAGATTTTATCTTCCAATTCAGCAATGATTTTTGACGATTCCTCTTGAACTTTTTTTATTTCTGAAAGCTCGTTTTGAGCAGCACTATTTAAAAAAAAACAAAGTTTATTATTATAGCTGGAAGCTAGAATGACAACAAGTTGTGATGCATCATAACCACCACCACCATTCTTTTTTAACGAATAACACTTACCCATGAATGATTTCTTCATTTACTTTGTCAAGAGTTTTTCTTGTAATATTAAAAAAATCAAAATTATTATATATAGTGCAAGTCACTTAGTCTGACGCGACAAGTGTCAATAACCCCCATTATTATGATAAACACTTACTCGTTTATTCCTCGTCGTTCTCCGTCATTTTTTCTCCTTTTTCTAATTTCTTGATTGTACATTTTTATTTTTTAAATAAAGATTGCGAATTATTCCTAAGATTTGTTATAAGATCTTATTTTTATTGCACTATTAATTAAAGAATGTTTTAGTGACAAATTAAGTTTATGTATTAATAATATTAATTATTTTTACCAATTATGTTTAGAACATTTAAATAGATGAGATTATCTTTTATTTTTATCATTATAAATAGGATATTATTTTTAAAATGGAGAATATATTTTTACCACAATTAAAATATTTGTAAGAGAGTATTTAAATTCGTTTTTGCAAATTCTTTACAATTTGGTAACAGCGGACGTTTTATACATTCATGTTTACATATACATCACATTCACGTTTACACACATACATATTAATATACATTAGAAATAATAGATATTATAAGACCATATGGAGGAAGGAAATGGAAATAAATATCAACACATCTAATTTAACTTTACAGGAATTACAGAATCAAGTTATAGAATTAAAAGCAGAATTAGAAAAAATCACTCGACCATCAAATCAACATATTAAAGGTTATCAAATATCAACTTTTATTTATTTTTTTAATGATCAAATAAAAAGGCTTTCTTCTGTTTTATATAATTATTAACATCGTGAAAAAAACAAAATTATCAATGATCCTGATGAATCCATAAAAATGATCAAAGAAAGAGATCCTTCGTTAAAAGGTTTTTTTGATATGCTGTATCAAAGATTCTATGTTACCAAATGGCTAGCCTTAGAAATAAGCAAGCCAACTTTGTTAAAACCCATATATATGCATTCCACAGATTAAATAAATTTATTGTTTATGTGTAACCTTTTCGTGAAACAATGAATGTCCACCTATTACTATTACTACGCAACAAACGCGTAATATAAATATTATTATTGGCACTTGGTGTCGTACAATGAATTTTTTTTTGTTGACACGATTGATTTTTTTTTTTTTTTTTTGGGAAAACAATTATTTTTTAAAAATGACAAAACGTGAGTGATGTTGTTTGGCATGATTCTGAAGACATGTTAATAACTAACCAGAGGCAACTTTTTTTTAATTTGCATTGATATGTCTTATTTTATATAAATATTATAGTTGAAATCAAAGCGTGGAGCAGATCTTGCTGGGTAATTATGAGATTCTCATCAATAGTAAATGAGCCTTTTGTAATCAATATTAATATTAAATAATAAATAATTACATGTCAAGGCAGCACACCATTGAAAAAGAAACAATTCAAATATAAAACAATTCAAATATCGGAAATCTACAGACATTGAAGCACGCACACTACCTTGAACATGTTACAGTCATTCTCACACGTTCCTTGTGCACAAGGTTAATCTGACCTCATCCCCTGATGATATGATGCTACCAAATTCCAGGGAGGGGGCGTATGGCCCTGGAATTTATCGAAACTGCATCAATTGTCAAGGACATTTTTGATAATCTTCTCTCACAGCATCCAGACTAGAGAAAGCTGACAAGTTAGCTGAAAAGTTTCCTGCAACGACCCACTTCTAAAGTAAAGTAAGTTGATTTAGATATTTATCATATGATTGTTGTTATAAAAAATATTGGGTTACCATAGTATTGGCCAAAACTACCTTTTTTTCAAAAATATGATTATTTTGTTTGGTATGTTATATATAAATTAATCATTTTCTGTTTCTTTAATTTTTATTTGACCAACTGAATTTAAATGGGGGTAGGGTTGTTGGTGAGTAGGCATGCCACCAACAAGACAGCAACCCAAGACTCAAAACTCTGAATCCAAAACAAAAACTCTCCTGCATTGGAGAATTTTGAACTAGTTGCAGACACCAACTTTATTCTAGAGAGGGGTAACACAAAGCAATCATCACCCAAGCACCAGCTATCAGTGATCACAGCCAGCCTGGTCTGAGAGGAAGATAAAGGGAATGTTTTGTCCAAAGCCTTCCAACTTGTTAAAGACTATTTCACCTGTGGGAAAAAATTCCATGGTGCTGAACTGTGCTTAATTGCACCGTCTTGCATGTTTGTGACAGGAAAATTTAATTAAATCTGACACCTGTGATCAACATCAGATTTATTATTCATGGTTTTTTAAGGAACTATACAAGAAAGAGAAAATTTTCTTATTGATCTTCCTTATTCATTTATTTTTTGCGAATCCCTAGAGATTTGGGTAAACACACATATTATTGTTTCAAAATCGTGTTCCTTAAAATTTTCATTTCTGCATGGCCTTGGTATTATTTATTACTCAGGTGATGCAATTTTTTGTTATGTTAATGACAACATCAAAATGTATTGAATAATCATAATAATCATCATGAACATTGTGATAGATGTGGAGACAAAAGGATTCACATGTGAGGAAAGTATTAAATAGCAATATCATGTTTGTTTATTTTATTTTAATCAAGATATATAATTATATAATTTTGTAAACTACTAAATGTAACTAATGGGCAGTTATATAACAGGTTACCAGAGTTTGCATTTAGATTTGGCAGGAGAAAATACAGGATGGGGTGTTGGGTGAAATTAATTTCTAATTCTAGTAACCTATTATATAACGGCCTGTTACATTTAGTAACAATTCTTTTTTGTTCAGTTAAATTGACTTTTCCAGATATTTCATTAAATTGCAGTCAAGTGGAGATTAAAAATACCATTTTTGTTATTATTTTTTTTTTTTCTACTCTTGCAATGGTACTAGCTTTCTAATAATTCTGAAATCGTTTGTTTATTTTTAGCATTACACAGTGAGTCTCGATTTAACGGACCTCGATTTAGCGGATTTAGGTGTTTAACGGATAAATTTTCAAAACAGTCACAGGACATTTCCCGCCGATCTATAGGAGGTGTAAAACATACAGTGCGGATCATCTATACTCAAAAGTTAAAATTTTTGAAATATTATGTGTTCCACACATTGGATTTTAAAAAACTTACCACCATTCAATTCAGCTTTAAAAGGGGAGTCTATTAATCTAAAAAAAAA